GAAATAACGCAAATTTCAAGGAATTCAAAAGCAAATATTATAGTCCATACTATTATCACAGCACCAAATGCAAGTTTTAACGCCTCCCCGAGGCCTGATGCATGTGCAGAAACTAAAAGCAGGGCGGGAGCCACAACGGAGTCACTTGCCGGCCGTGGAGTTGCATGGAGCGGGTTTGCCTTGTGGAGCTGCCGGGCTGGCAGCTCTCCGCTTCGGCCTGGTGCTGAAGGCCCGGAACTTCCCCAGCAGAGCCTCCGCACGACCCTTCACGGCCTCAGCAGCGACAGCGGCATGCTCGCCGCTCGCCGGCTCCAGCAGGCTGTCGAGGTCGACGTTGGGGTCGCGAATATAGATGTGGGTGAAGACCCGCGTCAGCGCCGCAGAAGACAAGACGCGTGCCTCGGCCTCAGCCGTAGGGCCAAGGCCAAGGGCGACATCTTCAAGAGCACGAACCAGGAAAGGAAGCAGCTTGGCGGGGCCGTCCTCCTCGCCGGCCAGCGGGCTCTCCAGGCCGCTCTCATAAAGCGTCTTCAGTGAAGTGCGGGCCTTCTCCTCCATCTCCGCAAAGGCCACGCGATCCTCGGCAAGAACCCGTGCCTTGCCGTCCAACTCAACCTTCCTCGCCTCCAGCTCTTGCTCCAGCGCGCCTAGGCGGTCACGGAGCTTCTTGAGTTTGGCGTCCCAGTCCTTGACAGCCGACTCGCGAGCCTTCATGCCGTCCACCTGCTCTTGGCGAAGGCGGGTCTCCTCAGCAAGCCGGTCCTGCAGGCCCTTCAGCTCGCTCTCCAGCGCCTCGCAACGACCTCGGGCATTAGCCGCCTCCCCCAAGGCGGCGTCACGGGCAGCCTTCGCCCCAAGAACGGCCTGCTTCTCCTCGTCGCAGGCCGTCGAAGCCTGGACGAGCGCCGCCCAGATCGAAGCATCGGAGCAAATCCAGCCAGAGGCTAGCTCCAAGCGCCCGGCCACCAAACGAGGGTCGGCGCTCAGAAGATCCCGCCGCAGACGGTCCAGTTCGGCAGCAGCATGATCCAGAACAATAGGAGGAGTCGGGGAAGCAGCAGTCGGCGGAGTAGGAGGAGAAGACGGCAGTGTGACCACGGTATCCTGAGGCGGAGCCTGCTGCGCCCCAGCGGCTGTGGTGGCAGCGTCAGGCGGGGGCACCTCGGGAGTCGCTTGGGCCGTGGGGGCCGAGCTCGCCCCAGCCGGCTCAGCCAGGCCTCGCAAGGACGCCCGGGCAGGAGAGGCCCGCGCGTCACGATCATCTTCTTTCGCGAGAAGAGGCGCTGCCGCAGACGGAACCTCAGGAGCCCCCTTTGGCTTCTTTGCCGTGGGCGCCAGCCTAGCCGGGAGATATGAACGTCAAGCCTCAGCAACGAAACAAGAAACAAGACAGGAATCAAGCACTTACAGGTCGTCGCCCGCGGGCTCGAGCAGCTTCCGGCCGTACTTGAAGCCCGAGAGCCGGCTGCAAGGATCAGCCTCAAGGAGCGCGGGTGCAAGTGGAGCGACTGCGGATCGCCTCGGGGCTGGGGCGGACCCGCGGGGGATCAGCCCGGTCCGGTCCTTCTTGGGGACCGAGGGCAGGCTCCCGCCGCCCTGCTCGTCATCACTCAGAGAGAGGCGGAGAGCGCGGGACTTGCGCCGAAGAGGTGGGGCCCTTGACTCTGCCTTGGAGTCAGTCCCCTTTTCCCGCTCCCCTTCCTCCCTCTCTTTGCTGGAGTTGCCGGAGGACACGTCCACCGGATCCTCGGGAACCTGCGCAGGCACGGGCCCGTCCCCGTTGAAGACGGGCATGGACCCCACAACCTGCTCCCAGTCCTCACGGAGGAACAGGGGCGTCGGAGCGCCCTCCAACCTTGCCACGTCGCCCCCGACCAAAGACTGGAGGACCGCAGCCAGATCCTCATCGGCCAAGACTGCGGGGCTCGGGTGGGGCCTCCACATCGAAAACGAGTACTGACGAAGCGGAGCCAGCTGATGCTCCACGAACTCCCTCAGCAACGAGGCGCCAGTCAACTTCGCCGCCGCCATGCTGGCCGACCTCAGATCCGCGTCCATCTTCTCCAACACTAGCCTTGCACGGGGGTCCACAAGCTCCACTCGAGACCAGTCGTTAGAGCTCGAGGGGTGCCCCGTGGGCAAGACCAGCCGGGGGTGGACGCGCCCAGCATCTACCAAGACCCACTTGCTCCTGAAGCCCTCAATCCTTTTCCCGGGATTCGAAATGGCGATGGAGCTGCCGTACGCGACGAAGTTCGCACACGCAGAGACGGAACCACGAGAGGTCCGGAGGGAGAAGTAGTGGCGCAGCAAGGCCACTGAGGGTTTCACCCCCACGTGAGCCTCGCAGTAGTAGGCGAAGATTGCCAGAAGGGGGACAGAGTTGGAGTTGAGGTGCAGAGCTTGAAGGTTATAATGGCGGAGGACAGAAAAGAAGAACTCAGAGAAGGGAGGCACCAGATCGGCGACAATGGCGCTCACGAAGAGCGGATAGAAGGTGCTCCCTTGGCCCTCATTGAGGGCAGAGCCGGCCTTGAACACCTTCGCCCCGTCGACGCCCTGCGCCGTCGCCATCTGGCGCACCCGGGCAAGGCTCGCCTCCGACACGTTCGGCGAGTCCAAGGCGGACGAATACCAAGCTCCGGTCGGGGCCTGGCGAGGCGCCATGTCTGGCTAGGGCGCGCGGATGGAGTAGATCTGGAGATTTCGAAGGCAGGAAGGAGAGGCGCAAGGAAGGGGATCTGAGCAGCAACTGGAGAGAGCAAAGAAGGCAAAGGGCAGATGTCGCTCCTTATCGACTCTCGCGGTTGCGGAGGTGCCCACGTCCAATCAACCGCCATGCAGCGCCCACGGCCGCAGGCTGTTAGGGCCCGCGACGCTTCGGACTTGCCCTTTTGCCTCTCTGCTCGGCCAAGTCCGGGCGCTCCTTGGGCCCGGGGGCTACTGTCGGCGTTCTGGGAACGGGGGTCCTCAGACTTGCCTGCCTGCGGCCTGTGGCGTGGCTCAAAGGGGGCCCAGCACGTCCCATCTTCATCAACACAAGCTCAAGACCCTCGCGAGGGGCCAAGCCTCGCGGGGCGGACGACAAGGAGCTTCCTCAGGCATGGCCTCATCAGGCTGGCTCACGAGGAGGCGGAGAGTTCAAGGCGGGGCACCTCGCGAGGTGCCCATGACGCAAGCCATGACGACCAAGGGCGCCAGCCCACGCAGTGTCCTTCTTTCCTCTTTGGTGCAAGGAGAGCAAGCGCACGCGAGAGCATCAAGCAAAGGCATCCATTTCGGTGCAACAAGACCAAGACCAGTCCAACGGCAGGATGGAGGTCACCGTGGAGCCCAAGCCGGCGTCACCACCAGAGCCTTTGATAGGCGAGGACCAACTTTAGTCAGGATAAGTGTACCAGATGTTCCCTTTCAAAATGGCCAATTGTTGGGGCCCTTCCCGCTCAATATTTGGTAAGAGGCCCAGGGCCTTTGCCTATAAATAGGACTAGCCACCATAGTATCTGGGCATCGAGAATCAACCCCTTCAAAGGGGCAACACCACCACAAGAACAGACCCTCGCGAGGCTGTTCTTCCTTGTATTGTTCATCATCAGCCCAAGAGGCAATCCACTACACCACACACTGGAGTAGGGTATTACACCACCATGGTGGCCTGAACTAGTATAAACCTTGCGTCTCTTGTGTTGTTCTTCTCGCAGTTTAGATCCTAGCGATTCGGTGAGGAACAGGTAGGTAGAAGGTGAAACCTCCGCGCGCACCCCAGTGTTCGAACCTCAAGGGTCTGCCGGAACCCTAAATCCGACAGAGAGTGCCTGAACAAGGGAAACTTCTGTTCCCATTCGACACTTGCCAGTACATGGTCCAACTTTTCAAACGTTGGATTTGGCATCGCGTTAGCCCAGGTAAACTTCCTACCCGAAAGCTCAATCTCTCTCAGATCCAAGCTTTCGATGATAGTGTTAAACATGAACGACCATCTCCCGTCAAAGTTATCATTATTCTTTTCATCCCGCCTCCTAATGATGTTAAAATCCCCCCCCCCCCACCAGGATTGGGAGCTGCTCAGAGCCGCAAACCCTAACTAGATCAGCCAAGAAATCCGGTTTGAATTCTGGCTGTGCAGCACCATACACCGCCACCAGAGCGTAATCAAACCCATCAGCCTTCGACCGCATCCTAAACTTAACAGCGAAGTCTCCCATGACCACACTTCGGACTTCGAGAGACTCGCATCTAACATCGAGTAAGATCCCACCCGATCTTCCTTGCGGTGGCAAACAGTGCCAGTCGAAATCAATACCACCCGAAAGAGTATTGAGAAATTGTGGCGAGAAATTAGCTCTACCAGTTTCCGACAAAGCAATAAAATCCAACCTATGCTCGATAGACGCTTCTGCAAGAAACCTTCTTTTAGCCAAGTCTTTGAGACCTCTGCTATTCCAAAAGATTCCTTTCATATCTCGTCATGGAATTTTTTAGCCATGAGGATCCTAGCACTCCTACGCACTGCGGATGTCGGGTAAATCTTCCGCTTCCATTTGCGTTTGGGACTGATCTTACTCTCCAGCTGGTCCTCACAACCAGGCTCGGGAGGTCTTACTACATCATGCTCAAAACTCTCATCCTCCTCCTCAGGCTCAGAGAGGGGATTAGCAAGATCCGCACAAAAATTATCCAACACCCGGACCCCCAAAGCATCAATATCGGAATTATTTATGGGTTTGACCACTGCAAGATAATATTGTGATAGCCTTTTAAAGTAACTTTAAGATTCGTGCAAACTTTTAAGGAGGGTGTACGGAAGCAAAACTCCATAATTAAAGATGGTTTCATAATATTCGAGCACCCTCTGTACGTTTCATATTTCTTTTAACAAATGTACGTTTCATATATTGGGTATGATTCATGCTTCAATAGTGTCCCTAAAGCTTTCACATTTGTACCATCAGAAGGGTTGCTGGTTTCCATTCTTCTCAACCAAGCTGACAAATCTGCAGGGCCTCGGGATGCTGGCGCTCTCGTCCATGTTCTCCTCACCGAGCGAACAATGCAAGCTCACCGCGGACGGCCGGCAAGCATGCCCGCGTTCCTCCCTGCAGACGGCCTTCTTCTACGTCTCGCTCTACCTGGTGGCCATTGCGCAGAGCGGCCACAAGCCCTGCGTGCAGGCCTTCGGCGCCGACCAGTTCGACGCGGCCGACCCCGCGGAGTCGTTGGCACGGGGCTCCTTCTTCAACTGGTGGTACTTCGGCATCTGCGGCAGCGCGACGGTGACCATCGCGCTCATGAGCTACGTCCAGGACAACGTGAGCTGGGGCATTGGCTTCGGAGTGCCGTGCGTGGTCATGGTGCTGGCGCTCGCCGTCTTCCTGGTTGGCACCAAGACGTACCGGTTCTACGACGACTCAGGCGACGGCAAGGGCGCCAGCGTGTTCTCCCGTGTCGTAGAGGCCTTCAGGGCATCGAGAAAGAGACCGCCGGAAGGTGGAGAGCACGGGCATGGCGACCGCGTGGAGAACGCTGCCCTCGTGGAGGAGGTGAGGGGCTTGGCGAGGCTGTTCCCGATATGGGCGACCTGCCTGCTCTACGGCGTGGTGTTCGCTCAGCCGCCGACGCTGTTCACCAAGCAGGCGGCGACGATGGACCGGAGGGTCGGGTCGTCGGGGTTCCAGATACCGCCCGCTGCACTGCAGTGCTTCATGGGCATCAGCATGATCACCTGCGTAGCGCTGTACGACCGCGTCCTGGTGCCCGTGGCGCGCAGGCTCTCCGGCCTCCCCTTGGGCATCACCATGCTCCAGCGGATCGGCACGGGCATGGTCCTGGCCGTGGCGGCACTGGTGGTGGCCGCGCTGGTGGAGATGAGGCGGCTGAGCACCGCGATGGACGCCGGAGTGGTGGATCAGGCCGATGCGGTGGTGCCCATGAGCCTGTGGTGGATCATGCCGCAGTACGTGCTCCTGGGCGCGGCGGACGTGTTCACCATGGTGGGCATGCAGGAGTTCTTCTACGACCAGATGCCCGGCGCGCTCAAGAGCCTCGGGCTCGCGCTCTACCTGAGCGTCCTCGGCGTCGGCAGCTTCATCAGCAGCTTCCTCATCTCGGTCATCGACGGCGTGACGAGGTGGGGCGGAGGGACGAGCTGGATCGCCGACAACCTCAACCGGGGTCACCTTGACTACTTCTATCTGCTCATCGCTGCGCTCACCGCGCTGGAGCTTCTTGCTTTCCTCTACTTCTCAGCTTCTTACGTTTACAAAAGGAAGACTGGCAGTGTTCATTGACACAATGGTCGATGAATTATGTACAGCGAAGTTGTATGCTGACAATTCCACTATTCATGTGCTGATTCTTCTGGGCAGCAATGTTTCAGTTTTACTTTTACTCTTATTACTATTGCTGTGAACTTATTAATCCTGAAGCACAGACACACTTGAACACGGCATTGCTCTTCTTCAGAGCACGGCCAGCCTGAGAACATGGGCGCACAGTCATAACTGCAAGTACCGAAGCATATAAAAACCTTGACTGAACAAGATAGATTCATCCGTCCTTAATTCTTGATTCTTGGGTTTTAGCACCAACTTTACAGTTCAAAGTCGGAGCTGAATATTCAGAAAAGTTTAGATGAGTCGTAGCTGAATATTAAGATAAGTTTAGAAAAATCTAGTTGTAGCCTTTGCGACCTTTTTCAGAAAAGTTTGCTGAAAGTGTTCCACGTGCTTGCTTGGTAATTTAGATGCCTTTAACTGGGTGTTTCACAAAGTGGATTCAGTGATTCAACTGTACTGGCATGTTACAGTGATGGCAAACTTTGGCCATCTTCGCCATGAGACCTAGTACAAAGTTATGCTTTCCCGGGTTCGAGAGGTTTAACCGAAAGTCAACCATTGCAGCAACTTAACTTCTACACCAGGGATAGAATTCATGACCAAATGATGTTGCAGGTTTTCATTCAAGCAATGGAACCGAGGGGCTCCGGCTCCCTGATTGACGATCTAAGAAAATTCGCAAGCAGAATAAAGCTACAGCTGATGCATGCAGAGGAGCTGGGCAGAGCAGAGCTCACGGGTCACTCCTCCTCGTCGAATTCGGCGGCCGGCTCGGGGAGCGTGGGCAGCACGGGGTACTTGCGCGAGAAGCACGCGTCGCAGTAGTCGCCCGCCTCCTCGCCGTAGATGCCGTGCAGCTTGTCCAGCGAGAGGAAGGCGAGGGAGTCGCTGCCGATCTCCCGCCGCACGCCCTCCAGGTCCATCCGGTTCGAGATCAGCTCCCCGTCGCTCGGCGTGTCGATGCCGTACAGGCACGACCCCACCACCGGCGGGCTGGCGATGCGCATGTGCACCTCGCGGGCGCCGGCGTCGCGGAGCAGCCGCACGATCTTGCTCGACGTGGTGCCCCGGACCAGGGAGTCGTCCACCACCACCACGCTCTTGCCGCGGATCACGCCGCGCACGGGCGCCAGCTTGAGCTTCACGGCCAGGTCGCGGATCGCCTGCGTCGGCTGGATGAAGCTGCGCCCGCTGTAGTGCCACCGGATCAGGCCCTGCTGGAACTCCAGCCCCGACTCGCGCGAGAAGCCCAGCGCGGCGTAGAAGCCCGAGTCCGGCACCGGGATGACCACGTCGGCGCCCGGCGCCGGGGACTCCTCGGCGAGGGCGCGGCCGAAGGCCGTGCGGCGCTCGTGGACGTCGTGCGAGAAGACGACCGAGTTGGGGAGGGAGAAGTAGATGTGCTCGAAGACGCAGGCCCGGCGGGGCAGGTGCGGGACGAGGCAGGCCGAGGAGACGGACATGTCGCGGCGGTCGACCATGACCACCTCCCCGGGCTCCACCTCGCGCTCGTAGGTGGCGTCGATGAGGTCCAGCGCGCAGGTCTCGGACGCGAAGGCCACGGCGCCGTTGGGGAGGCGGCCGAGCACCAGCGGGCGGAACCCGTGCGGGTCGCGCACAGCGAACAGCTTGTCGGCCGTGAGGAAGAGCAGCGAGTAGGCCCCCGCGAGGCGCTCGCAGGCGTCGCAGATGCGCGCCAGCAGCGGCCGCGAGAGCGACGTGGAGATGAGGTGGAGGATGACCTCCGTGTCGGAGGTGGTGTTGAAGATGGAGCCCCGCGCCTCCAGCTTGCTCCGCAGCGCCTGGTAGTTGACGAGGTTGCCGTTGTGCGCCACGGCGACCTGCCCGAACCTGTACCCGGCCAGGAACGGCTGCACGTTCCGGAGGGACGCGGCGGCGCCGGCGGTGGAGTAGCGCACGTGCCCGATGGCGGCGGGCCCGGGCAGCGACGCGAGCCTGGACGGGTCGCCGAAGACGTCGGCGACGAGCCCCAGCCCGGTCACGGACTTGAGCTTGCCGTCCCCCCCGGCGGCGACGATCCCGGCGCCCTCCTCCCCGCGGTGCTGCAGCTTCTGCAGGCCCAGGTAGCAGAGCGAGGAGGCGTCCGGGTGGCCCACGACCCCCACCAGGCCGCACTCCTCGCGCGGGTGGTCGTCGGATTCGTCGTCCGCCCCGTAGGAGAACGGGGTCACGCGGTCCGGCAGGAGCGCCGCCCCGGCTGGCGGCGAAAGGCGGCGGCGCAGAGCGAGAGGGGACGGATTGGGGGCGTACCTGAGCCGCTGCTGGTGGTGGTGGGTGTGGCGCTTGGAGCCGGATGTGGTGTGGTGGTGATAGAGGAGGCGCGACGTGGACGGAGCGGTGGTGGTGGCGGCGGCCATTCCCATTCTTGGGCGATTGGGGGAGGGGATTGCTGGCGGCGGCGGCGGCGGCGAGGGCTTTGGGGGGATGCCCCTCCGAGTGCGGGTCAAGGGACGGGATTTTAAAGAGGTTTGGTCGGCTCGTATCCACCGTAGGATGCGATGTATCGTCGGTAGTACCGTAGTACGTTGTACAACCTGATACGGTGATGGTATCCTACCTCCGTTGTTTCAGGCAAAGATACTGAGTGGTGGGGCCGGGGCCACCAACGAGCCGAGTGAGGTGTCGACTATCGAGCACTCGAGAGCGTTGGAGTTGGACCAGTGAAGCAATCGCTGGTCAAGTGCCGCCGTATGGTCCATTTTCTAATTCATCCACTTGAGGACCAATTTTTTTTTTTTTTTTGCTTTTTGGTTTAGAGAATACCACTCTTTATTCATCAAAAAATATTGTTAAAGAGAGTTTTTCAGATGCAATCCGGAGTTACGTTACGCAAAATAAAATCATCCGAAGAAAAACACAAATGCATATATGAGCCGCGACATTCGACAAGCGACTAACATGACTAAAGAAACAAGACGGAAAATTGCCCGTCAAAATCTTGATGTTGATGACTACTACGAACAGTCTGCCGTTTGAAGTGAAGGAGATGACCTTACGAAAACCTTCTTGACGAGCAAGAGCAGCGACGTGCCTCAGCTAGTTCTGGCATGGTAACCTCCTGAATGCGCTCATGGCACGCCAACAAGCACAATCCGTTGTGGTTCCAGATCACCACACCCACCCTCATCTACCGCGAATTCTGAAACAGTGCATCATCAACATTTACGAACGTCATATCTGTTGGCGATGCAACCCATCGAGACACCGTAGGATTTGGGTGGATATGCCTATTAGCTTCAACGGTTTTTAAGCAGTTCTACACAATCAACTCCACATAAGCAATACTTTTCTCGGCCACACGACGAGGACGTAGGATTGAAGGAAATATGCCCTAGAGGCAATAATAAAGTTGTTATTATATATTTCCTTATATCATGGTAAATGTTTATTATTCATGCTAGAATTGTATTAACCGGAAACTTGATACATGTGTTAATACATAGACAAAACACCGTGTTTCTAGTATGCCTCTACTTGACTAGCTCGTTGATCAAAGATGGTTAAGTTTCCTAGCCATGAACATGTGTTGTCATTTGATGAACGGGATCACATCATTAGAAGAATGATGTGATGGACAAGACCCATCCGTTAGCTTAGCATAATGATCGTTAAGTTCTATTGCTACCGCTCTCTTCATGACTTATACATGTTCCTCTGACTATGAGATTATGCAACTCCCGAATACCGGAGGAACACCTTGTGTGTTACCAAACGTCACAACGTAACTGGGTGGTTATAAAGATGCTCTACAGGTGTCTCCGAAGGTGTTTGTTGGGTTGGCATAGATCAAGATTAGGATTTGTTACTCCGTGTATCGGAGAGGTATCTCTGGGCCCTCTCGATAATGCTCATCACTATAAGCCTTGCAAGCAATGTGGCTAATGAGTTAGTTGCGGGATGAAGCATTACAAAACGACTAAAGAGACTTGCCAGTAACGAGATTGAACTAGGTATGATGATACCGACGATCGAATCTCGGGCAAGTAACATATCGATGACAAAGGGAACAACGTATGTTGTTGTGTGGTTTGACCGATAAAGATCTTCGTAGAATATGTAGGAAACCAATATGAGCATCCAGGTTCTGCTATTGGTTATTGATCGAACATGTGTCTCGATCATGTCTACATAGTTCTCGAACCCGTAGGGTCCGCATGCTTAACGTTCGATGACGATTTGTATTATGAGTTATGTGTTTTTGATGACCGAAGTTTGTTAGGAGTCCCGGATGATATCATGGACAAGACGAGGAGTATCGAAATGGTCGAGAGGTAAAGATTGATATATTGGAAGGTTATGTTCGGACACCGGAAAAGTTGCGGAGTGGTTCGGACATTTTTCGGAGTACCGATGGGTTACCAGAACCCCCCGGGGAAGTGTTGGGCCAACATGGGCCTAAGCGAGAGAGAGGGAAGCTTGCGGGGGGTGGCCGCGCACCCCCCTCCTAGGGATTCCGAATAGGACAAGGAGGAGGGGGCGGCGCCCCCTTCCCTTTTCCTCTCCCTCTCCTTCCTATTCC